AAACGTCATAGCCTAACCACAGGCATCTCCTCTGGGCTAATACCTGCCCCATGAGGTCCTGGGCCAAAGGCATGCTGGGAGGTTGCTTCTCGCTCCTGTGGTTCCCTCCACACCCCACCTAGCGCCGGGGGCTGTGTTAGCTGGGTGCGCACAGAGCATGGGAGTAGGAATAGCATCAGTGCCGCGTTCCTAAGGTCACAGCAGAGTGACAGCCTTCCTCTCTAAGATCGCGTCCTTTACAGAATTAACTGAATGTTACACCAAGTACCTCCATATTTAAATAGTAGGAGGAGCTTTAAGTCAGAGAGAAAAAGAAATTAAAGACAAAAATAAAAAATAGTAAGTTTAGGGCACCATTAGTAGTTGTAATATTATTTTTGATCCATCAACCACAGTAGGCAAAACAGCCAGAAAGGAAAAAAATGTGGTCTGAAGGAGAGTCACCTACTGACAATCACGTAACCAGACTGGGGGTGCTCGCATAGACTCGGGGAGTCTTTTATGGCAGTGCCCATGCAGGGCACAGTGCCAGGAGGCCTCTGGTCCCAGAGGAACAGGGATGGCAGGGTGTTCCCTTTCTATGTGCTTCTCTCTCTCACTAGGCACTGGTGGCACGACCAGTAACCTCGCCCGGCTGTGGGCACGGCCTGTGAGCTCGCCCGGCTGTGGGCACGGCCCGTAAGGTCGCCCGGCTGTGGGCACGGCCTGTGAGCTCGCCCTGCTGTGGGCACGGCCTGTAAGGTCGCCCGGCTGTGGGCACGGCCTGTGACCTCGCCCGGCTGTGGGCACGGCCTGTAAGGTCGCCCGGCTGTGGGCACGGCCTGTAAGCTCGCCTGGGGCACCTGCTTAAAGTCATCTGTGGCTGCCCTTCCCGTCCAGATGAGCCGTCACCATGGGAACGGTGGCATCCTTTCCGATCTGGCCCTGCCACTGCCGCTGCCGCAGGGTCTTTGTCCCCCATGACTTTCTCTCCTTTAAAACCACCTCCTAAATGTGTCCCCCGGGCCCGGAGCCCGTCACTGCGCTCGCTGTGCCTGTTCGTTCTTGCGTCCATTGTCTTGGTTTGAAAACTTGATTTAAAAAGAGTGCGTGCTTATGTGAACCTAAACTGCTCTGATACTGTCTCAATGAAACAGACTAACATTTATTCACTGGTTTTATTCACCTTAGTTTTGTCGAGTTTGTAGGTAAGTTTACAAATTACACATTATCTTCTTCCTTTTCTAATGAGGCAGCAAGATAAACGTAGAGAGTCGTGGACACTATTAAAGTGTGGACAGCACTCCTTTGCCCAGTGTTGTCCGAGAGGAGGGTGTATGGTGGCCCGTGCTGCCCGCAGTAACAGAACAACTAAAAAGCTTTAAATTCTACTTGCTAACGACACGAGGACTTTTGAGGGGAAAAGTTTAGATTCCAAGTCTAAAGTCATTTGAAATGTTTTAAAGCTCGGATTTTGTGATTGCGCAGTATCTCTCTGTGCTTGTAGCCAAATAAAGCCATGTTATCAGCGTGTGCGTTACTGCGATGGGCGGGCGCTTCTCCTGCCCTTCCAGCCCAGGTGCGCACTCTGGGTCCCCACACGTTCCTCAGCCTCTGGCTGTGGGAGCAGGGACAGTAGGGACAGTGTCACTCTGGGTGGGGCACTCGTCCTGGTAGATTCAGCACCAAGAACAGCGGCAGCAGTGACATGGAGGAAGTTGCAGAGCCAAAGCCAGGAGAGAAGCCCAGCCCGGGATGTAGGTGGCCGGGCCCAGAGTGTCCGTCCATCTGTCCATCTGTCCCCGAGCAAGCCCAGCCGTTTCTTGCAGGTTATCACCAGCGGACAGACCACTATCTGTGTGCTGTCCCAGAGGTCAGCTCTGGTCCTTGGTGGGAGGGCACAACGTGAACGCTTTAACCTCCTATTTCCTTCGTGTGAGAACGGACACTGGAGAGCTCTGCCCACCCGTGCAACCGGCACACGCCGTGGACGCCCGCGTGTCCTCTCGGGCCCACGCATCCTGAGGCAGGCAGCCTCTACTCTGAGGGAGTGACGAGCAGTGTGGACCCCGGCTGCTGTCTGCCACAGTCTGGCTGGGCTACAGACCCAGAGCCAGGACACGTCCGTCATAGCCTCAGCCAGTGACGTCACACACGCAGCTGCTGCCACACTGTGGTTGGGGGAAGTTACAGCCCCAAACAGCATTGGCGTGTACTTCCCTGGGGCCGAAAGGTTTTTTAGACTTAGATATTTTTAGATCTTAAAAAGGTTATGCAATTTTTATATTTGAGCTCTGAAATATCTCCAGGAGTGTCTATGCCCTGTCATTTTTAAAATATGTATATAGTAACTGCAGGGAGAAGCCTGACTAGTCACACCAAGTTGGATAAATATAGATTAGGAACAATGTCATAAGTCGCTGTCAGTTTTTGCCATAAATGAAATGTTACACCACATTTAGAGAAAAGAATTAAAACTGTGTTTTCAGCATCTTTTGGATTTGAGAATTTCATTTTAATTTTTATTGCCTATTACATTGGCCTAGGGATCAGAAAAGGTTTATGCTTTTAAATTGGGTGATAAAGTAAAATTTTAAAAAATGCTTTTGCAGTGTAGCAGCAGCTGAATTGATGTGAACGGCGATGCTGT